CTCGAAAGAAATATATGAATTTTTTGATATTACTCTTACGAGTAATGTGCTATGTTGTAATGTATTGTACTGTAAAAAATAGAAGATATACTCGCATCATTCTTCATATTAATTATATATCGGTGGATTATATAAGTATTATATCTGAGAACGGTAGCCAAGTACTCAAGCATTATCTTGTATAATGTATTGTACATATACACTTTGTTAAACAATAAGATAAATAACAATATCTTTGGCAAGCTAAATTATACCTCATTTTAGATAAGGTAATAATACATGAGATTATTACTATCAAAATAAATATTATATGGTATTTAGGGTACGAAAACTGATAGGCATAGTAATTATAAGAGATTTTCATGTAAAAAAAAAAGCGCGATCCGGCAGTAATAGTTAATACATACAGCTGCAATGTTAACAACACTTTATCAGCTTTGTATATGAGTGCTGTCTCACATATATATCGCTTCTACAGGCAATTCCACCGATTAAAGAGGTGCTTTATAAAAAAAAGTTGAATAATATCTATGCGAGCTTACATTTAATAAAAAAACGGAAAACAAAGAGTTCTTTTACAACGTTCTTTATATTACGTAAAAAGAGCTCATATATTAGCGTTTTTATTTTTGAATTAAGTATCAATTATTTGCACCTCTAGCCAATATTATAGGGATAGCTATTGATTTATATTTGATAGAAGGCAGGTGTAGACATAAATGTCAATATTTATACTCTGTCATTAAGTAATATCTTTTGTACTCGGCTAATAAGCGTATATAAAAAATGTCTTATGGATAGACTTGAGAATGCAGCTCGCTCCATATCAGTGATAACTTATTACTGTTATATATACACTTGTGATAAAAAAAGCCTAGCACCAGTTAAGAATTTACTAAAAAATCGACTATTTTCTTAATAATAATAATGTCATAATCTTCTTGTACATTCAATTAAATATAACGTGGGGTATATTCTGACATCTAGAATGCTCCATAGTTAATAATCAAATGCTGAGCATTACAAGTACAAGAGAATTATGTAAATTTACCCGATAGGTTTTAACGCAGTCAATATATCATTCGTTACTTATATACTCATGTCTAATGAAAAATTAATAGTAGGTGTCTTCCATTTGATATTTAAAAACTTTAACTACTAGTATTGATATAAAAATCTAAATTGGATATATTCTCTAATCTTTAACAGTTTTACAACTGTTTTCAGAGTACAAAGTATCTTCTTTTTATGTGATTGTAGCCCCAAGAAGTATTTCTACCAATAGAGTGCGAGCTGCATTCTCAAGTCTATCCATAAGACATTTTTTATATACGCTTATTAGCCGAGTACAAAAGATATTACTTAATGACAGAGTATAAATATTGACATTTATGTCTACACCTGCCTTCTATCAAATATAAATCAATAGCTATCCCTATAATATTGGCTAGAGGTGCAAATAATTGATACTTAATTCAAAAATAAAAACGCTAATATATGAGCTCTTTTTACGTAATATAAAGAACGTTGTAAAAGAACTCTTTGTTTTCCGTTTTTTTATTAAATGTAAGCTCGCATAGATATTATTCAACTTTTTTTTATAAAGCACCTCTTTAATCGGTGGAATTGCCTGTAGAAGCGATATATATGTGAGACAGCACTCATATACAAAGCTGATAAAGTGTTGTTAACATTGCAGCTGTATGTATTAACTATTACTGCCGGATCGCGCTTTTTTTTTTACATGAAAATCTCTTATAATTACTATGCCTATCAGTTTTCGTACCCTAAATACCATATAATATTTATTTTGATAGTAATAATCTCATGTATTATTACCTTATCTAAAATGAGGTATAATTTAGCTTGCCAAAGATATTGTTATTTATCTTATTGTTTAACAAAGTGTATATGTACAATACATTATACAAGATAATGCTTGAGTACTTGGCTACCGTTCTCAGATATAATACTTATATAATCCACCGATATATAATTAATATGAAGAATGATGCGAGTATATCTTCTATTTTTTACAGTACAATACATTACAACATAGCACATTACTCGTAAGAGTAATATCAAAAAATTCATATATTTCTTTCGAGGGGAAATAAACAGATACTCTCCATCTAAGTAATTTTTGTAATAATTATTTTCAAGAGTATTCAAGGAAGTGCTAGGTACTTTATTACTCTATTGTATTCTATAACATTTTAAGGAATGATCTGTCTTTGCACACATCACCACAAAAAAACCACGGTACAGTGACCACGTTTTTCTTTTTTTTTCTTTAATTTTTTTTTAAATAATTGTCTATATAAACAGCAACAATAACTTGGCCAAACCTCATCTCTCTATCTCTCTCTTATCTTTGAACTAACTCTCGGTCTATTTCTCTCTCTGTATACCTCTCTGGATCTCTCTCTGTATACCTCTCTGGATCTCTCTCTGTATACCTCTCTGGATCTCTCTCTGTATACCTCTCTGGATACCTATCTGCATCTCTCTCTCTGGATCTCTCTCTGTATACCTCTCTATATACCTCTCTGTATATCTCTCTCTTTGCATCTCTCTCTGCATCTCTCTCTGTTTATCTTCTATTTCTACTTTGAGAGTATCTCTCAATATATCTCCGTCAGTCTTTGCAGCATATATCTTTGGCACAAGAAGTTTTTGGTAATATATTTCTTTTATTTTCTCTATATAAAATATCTTTCTTTTCAAAATTTACTGACATCTATCTTTATAAGTATAACATACATATATTAGTCAAACTTTATTGATATATGTGTACTTCTTGCTGTTTCTAAAGTATTATCTTTCCGATACTATTTGGTAAGTTTTTTTTTTTACAAGAATTTTTGAAAAAAGTTTTTTCTTCTTTTACACCAGCTCTAATACTTATTCTCCGTATTTTATTTTTACATTGATATATTATTGAAAAAATCCTTCTAAAAAACCTTCCCCAGATTTCTGCTGTTTATTGGTAAAGGATTTTTCTTTACTGCTATTTCCGTTTATCTGGTAAAAAAAGTCGCTAATCTCATAGTATTGGCGGCTGGAGACAAATATTATTTCACACACTCACACGGTCAAAACCATAACATATATACTTACTCTACTTTGAATCTCTTGTCTGGGCGTTTAGTTCCCAGATCGGATTAGCTTTCTTTATTCTGGACCTACAAGAGTGAATGCACGAATGATCTTTTGTACTGTGTTTTACTGTCTTTATTGGCATATCTCACTGGCAGCTTCCTGCGCAAGTGTCCAGACGAGTTGGTTGTGATTATGTGCGATGCGGTGTGGAAACCGTTGATCTAGAAAACATCCGTTGGCTCGGAATGGTGTATGCTAACGTGCAGCGCTGCTTGAACTTGCCTCTGTTTTCCATACCACTCTTTCCTGGAGAGAGAGCAACCAACTCCTTTTTCCTCCTCGCTGTCAAATCAGGTCTTCGTCCTGGGGGGGATGGATCCACCTTTGTTGTTTTTTTTTTTTGGCAAAGTGGTGAACTAAGAATTTGACATTCTCTCTCGCCAAAGTATCCGTCTCGGACATGAAAATTTCCGGTAAGTATTGTTCCACCAAAAATGCAAGTACAAAGTATACTTATTTTGCTAGTGTCGACTCTCTGGGCGTTTCGTTCCTAGGCAAGCTTACGTTTCTTTATTCTGGACCTACAAGAGAGAATGCACGAATAATCTCTTGTACTGTGCTTTACGGTCTTTATTGGCGTATCTCACTGGCAGTTTCCTGCGCAAGTGTCCAGACGAGTTGGTTGTGTATATGCGCAATGTGGTGCGGAAAGTATTATTCTGAGAACATCTGTTAGTTTGGAATGGTGTATGCTGACGTGCAGCGCTGCCTGACCTTGCCTCTGTTTTCCATATCACTCTTTCTTGTAAAGAGAGCAACTAACTCCTTTTTCCTCTTCGCCGTCAAATCAGGTCTTCGTCCTGGGGGGGATGGATCCACTTTTGTTGTTGTTTTTTTTGACAAAGTGGTGAACTAAGAATTTGGCATTTTCTCTTTCTCTCTTTCTCTCTATATATATACGTGTGCTCTCTAATTTAATTTTATGGAATTTAATATTATTATATTTAAGGCTTTAAACCTCTCAGCTATTGCAAAATGATTAAGAATATTAGATATGTTATAGTGTGGAAAATATTAATATTTTCTAGCTTATAAAAATGTTACAAGATTGATAATTTTACAAAAAATGTCATTTTGTAATAGAAGAGGTTGCTCAATATAATTTGACTGTATAATGAAATGAAAATTATAATATTTTCTCTTTGGCTATATATTTATGAATGATGCTATGACATAAATTTTATAGAAAATGGTGAGGCAACCCAAAAAGAAGCATAGTATATATCTTAAAATTGGTTTTATTTCATTAATGTACTATTTTTTAGATTACATATATAATTAAATATTTGTATACGTAAAATAGGTAATTTTTATTCGAATATATACATATATATATCTATTTATTTACTATGCTTAATATTTTATTGTACCAGCGAGATTATTGGTGCATAACTAGACATGGAGTCTATATGTATTCAACTAGCTTATTTGCAGAATAAACTTCACAATCGTCTAAAATTCTGGTATATTCTCATTTCTAAGAATTACTGCATTTTGTTAAAGTATATAACCATTACCTCTCTAAAGATGGTATAGCAGTACTCGAGAAGTATCTTCTATAGTTATATTTTATTTTAAATACTTATTTCTTTAAGTGATGAGGCTAATAGCAATAGCTTTGATAATCAAAACTATATCTCGTCTCGACTATAGTAAGAAAGATAGATAAAGTTATTTACTACCAAGGTAAAAACTTTAGGGAAGTGTATGTACAGTGATTGATAAGCATAGTAATTATAAGATTGTTTAAAAAGATCTCGTGTTCCAGTAGTAGTAGTTGATGTATACCGCTGATCTTATCATCGCACTTTATAAGCTTTTTAGGCCAGTGTTGACATATACACTCGAGTGTAATAGGTCATTAGACGGTCACAGATTTTTTGATTTTTTGATTTTTTTTATGCATTATCAAAATACTCTTTTCTTTGTAAAACCACTAAAAACTCTTAAACAAATAAAACAAAAGCACAAAATGACTCCACCAACTTCTAGAATCACAAAACCCAAAAGACAAGAGCTAGATGCGTTCATTAGGGGCCGAATTATAGGTCAATGGGAGAAGGACGCTACATATGAAGAAATCTCTAAAGTCCTTGACATTCCGAAGAGCACTGTTGGAAATGTAGTGAAAGCCTTCAGAGATAAAGGTGTTTCCAAGCCCTTGACATGTCTAGGAAGGGAACCAAAGGTTACAAAGAGAACACAATCTGCGATGGTGCGCTCATTTCGTAGTGAGCCATTCGTGTCAATTGCGGCTCAGCATCAGAGATTAGTCGATGTGGGAATATCTATCTGCATGACTACATTCCGTAAGAACATGGAACTTCTTGGCTTTAGTTCTCACTCAGCAGCTCGCAAGCCAGGGTTGACCGAGAAACAGAAGGAAAACAGGCTGAACTGGTGCCTTGACAAAGTGAATTGGACTGTTGAGCAGTGGAAGTCAGTTGTCTGGTCAGACGAGTCCAGATTCATGGTAGTTGGCAATGATGGAAGAGTCAGAGTCATCAGAAAGACTGGCGAGAGGTTTGACAAGAACCATATTGTCCAAACATACAAGTTTGGTAAGGGTTCCGTCATGATTTGGGGTTGTTTCTGGGGTGGGGTCTTGGCCCCTTGGTAACATTGAAAGGAAACATCGATCAAGACAAGTACATCGACTGTTTGGTTCAGTACTTTCTTCCCTGGTACGAGGAACTGTCCAGGGATAATAACAAACAGTTTTTGTTCCAAGAGGATGGTGCACCATGCCACACGGGCGCTTATGCCACATGGTATAAAAAAGAGAGGTGTCTAATAGATAGCTTTGATTTTTGGCCTGCCCAGAGCCCAGATCTTAATCCTATCGAGCATATTTGGGCTCATCTTGCGAGGAAACTTCGCAAGAATAGAGCACAAGTAACCAATGTGGAAGAACTTGAAGCGGTAATCCACAAGACATGGTTGGAGATACCACTTCAAGTTCTGGAAACTTTGGTAGCCAGCATGCCAGATAGGCTTAAAGAAGTAATCGAGAGAGGTGGTGACACAACTCATTACTAGAGCTCATACCTTTTCTCTTAAATATATATATAATAAACTATGTTTTCTCTAAGTTTTGCTTTATTCTGAGCACATTTTATTATCAACATTATTGAAAAGAAAATATCGTCCATAATATGCTTGAAAAATAATTTTGAAAATTAGAAGACCGTCCAATGACCTATTACACTCGAGTGTATATATACACTGTATTTGTTTTTTTGAATCAAAGAAATTATCTAAATCTAGCTAGAGTTACAAGGTTACCAAGGTAGCTTTAGCTATAAGGCATATAATATTGATCGTTGCAGATGCTACTATTTGGTTTAGAACAAATGTAGTATTGTCGAAAATGTATCAAAAATACTCTTCCCAAATTGTACTAAATGTGCACACTATGCTAAACCAGATAGTGGCGTTAAATATTCTGAACTATTGCTCCCAAAAAAAAAGAAATAAGGACAAATCATGTCTCACATAGTTTTCCTGGCATATTCTGTTCATATTTCCTCCATAATACATTGAATAAATTAGCTAAATCTCCATAAAAATATATTTACAGTAGCTGTAAATTATGCACAGAATAGATAAGACATACATACATGTATTCCCTATAAGCTTTGTCTTATTTAATAAGAGAAAATAGCATAACTCTTGCAAATTCAAAGTTGGACAAATTTTCCAAATTTTAAAAGAATCCTGGTTCTGAAACAGGCAACTTTGGGTCTGTTTCAGATGTCGATTGTCAAATATAGTAACTTATAAATGTTTACATTTTTCTGGCGAGTTCAGAACATTTAACGACACTATCTATTGAGTACAATTATTGAGACTATGTGGGAAAGATTTCTGAGGTGAATATGGTGTTATCAAAGTGGAGAGTGTTAAGTGCTCGGGAGTTCTTAGAAGTCGCATGTGTTGACTCATATAGCTCTACCGGTCAAAGAGATGATCTGTAATTGTACATTTTCTATTTGAACATGTATATTTTAACTGAAGCAAAATAGAAAAATGAAAAATATATTTTGCGATATTACTTATAAAAAAACAAATGTGAGTAGCATTGATTCTATTGAAGAATTTTACACATATTATTCGTATTCGAAAGCAATTTATTCTCAAATATATCTTAATATGACTAGTTATAATATGTATATATATATAAATGGCAAGAGTACTGTCCTGCGATTAAGTATTGACTCCGTATACTTAAATATATATGCTTATGATGATAATCATTTTTTGTTTATTTGTAGCACTATGTGGAAACGAGTGGCGATTCAGAGGGCGACTTTGAAGAAGATAATACTTATATTATTATTATTTTTTCAAAATTGCTATCAGAATTGCCTCTTTTTTGTATTCATAGTGTATTATTCCCAACTAAATACTAAAGGAACAATGTTTTTTTTGCTGTTTTGTTACTTTCTATATCGTATCATACTATAGTACAGTATCTCCAATAGAAGAACACTCAACTGACCAGTGCCAATGGTATGAGTATTGGACTCTGAAGGTTATAATTACATAGAACACGTTGAATGTATAGTATATTGTTTTTGCCTGATTCGTATAATTTGGCTGTGATATGTAAATGTTTAATCTCTTGATCTCCTTACAAAACATGTTAATAATGTCTCTCTTTTTATGTAGCTGATTTCTTGTTTATTTTCAAAAAAAAGTAATGTGATAATTTAGGTATAGGAAGCTTAGCTGCTAGTATATCAAGGAAAAAACTGATACTGTGAGAGTGTTACTTACTGAAGAAAGAAGAAATAATAATGTCCGTTCTTCACATATAGATATTAAAAGTATCTTTGTAATTAGAATTCTTGGTTTATAATAGTTGACTATTATTGTGTACGCATGGAGTGTCTGTGTGGCCGGTGTGTAACTGTTCCTGAGAAAATGAATTTTTTCTAATTCATCAACAAATGATATTTAGTGGGGGGATTTTTTTTTGTTGTTGCTTCTGTAAAATGTATTTCAGTCTTGTTTGTAGGGTACCCACCACACATTGTATCGATTTGCTTCTTTTACTGTCTGCTATCACTCAGAAAAAAAAAGAGTTACAGTATAGTCCGGCTTAACAGATATATAGTAATTAGAGTTACTAGTTGATTATGCTATCTTTCTTTTATTTGAGCTAACAGGTTTGATAAGAAAACAAATCCAGGCTGCCTGAGACAAGTAAACTTTAATTGATTGTGATTTAATAAATAGAAATGGATTATTTCTTTGCTACAATATATATATATAATAACTGAATAAAAATTAAGGTTTTACCCAAGTGTGCCACATTTACCTTGATGTTCTCTAGTTAAAATAATGAAGCTTCAGTATCCGGGCTTTATTTTCTTCTATCTGAAGCTACCGACTTTTTGACTTGATCGACTGGAAATACTAGAATTTCAACGGGGTTTCTTCATTTCTATATAATAACGGCTCCGTATTTTATCCGTCAACCTAAAGGTGGTCTGTGCCGATTTACTTATAACCACTCTTTCCTAAACACGCTTGCCTCTATACACATATTTTTTCTACGACATTAATACACGATTATTTATTTTTTTAGATGTGAAAGTAAAAGCTGGACTTTATTATATGATATTAATACTATAATGTTATTACCTCTAAAAAAAAAGACGTATCAAGTATATGATTTCTCTAAAACTAATTGCCACATTTCAGACACCATGTCTGGCTTTTATAATTAATATAGCATATATCTTTGATAAATAACCTTGAATATTTTTATATGCTATATTTTATATAGAGATAGACCTTGTTTTTGCTTAAATACATGGCCTGAAATAACTTTGTTTATTTTTTCAGGGCTCACAAAGTATCTTGATCATAAACTAGGCTTACAAATATGTTTTTTTATTATTTGATGACCGATCACTGCTTTATATACCCCAATAATCTGGGTTCCCGATCCTGTTGCTATACAGCTGTAGATCCCTCTTCCTTTTTTGTATACTACTTTTTCTTTATTATCTTCTTGTGTCGGTATTAGATTCGGGTTTGATCCGCTTGAGATAGCTTATTTTGGGCAAGCTTACAAATGGGCGTCTTTATCCAGGCTCTTGTGTACTTATCCAACAGCATCAATAGCAGTAATAGCAAAGAAACGAGTAAGAGTTTTTTCTTTTAAAAATGTATAGTGATTTCAAATGTACTCAATTTTACCTCGTTTAAAAGTGGAATGTGCAATTCTTCCAATAAAATTAAGTCGTGAAACTATTTCTCTCTTTTTTTGGTGCTTTTAAATAATGCCCTTCTTTCTTTTCTACGACCCTAGGCCTTGTTACTAGCATGCTTTCCTTTCTTTCTTTCTTTCTTTCTTTAGTGAAGTAATACATCAATGGTTAATATTCTATTAGTATTTTTCATTTGATTCTTTTGGCTCTTGATCTATTTGATAAAACAGTAATAATTATTTGAAGAAAAGAAAAGGTGTTTGAACTTATGTGTGGCTGATATTACAGCTTTTATGGTTTTCTTACCCTTTATTTTATTTTATTTTATTTTATTTATACATTTCTGATTGTCTCACGCTAATGTCGTGTACAGGATATAATTACTATAATAAGCTTGATGCAAGGCAAAATCTATAAAAGGCTTTGCCGAGGGGGGGGGGGTTTGTATTGTGTTTCTTTAGTGAGTAAAGATCTCTAGTAAAATGTGACAAAATTTAAAAAAAAAAGGGGGGGAGAAACGATGATTTCAACATAGAGATCTACAATGCTCATTGTTCTATTGTTTATATTATTATTAGTACTTTGAATAAAGAGCTGTTATATATTTATGCGTCTTTAAAAATATCCCACAATGAGTTTCAAAAGCTTGTATCTTGGCTCACGGTCATTGCTGCTCTTGTGCCCTGATCTTGGCACCAGTAGTAAATATCCACACAATAAATGCATAAATACATCAGATGTTTTTATTATATATAGTATAATTGAAGCTAGTAAATTCATTGATAAATAAATAATGCTATAAAACTTATCAATCGACCAAAGTATATATACATATTAATTAATTAGACTGTCTGCTTCCTCCTCCTCTTCTTTACCCTTATTTTTTTAAATATTAATTCAAATATAAAGTATTAAGATTCCAAACACATAAAATACCCGGCCTACTATGGATGATATGTAGCTTAATATATATATCTATATACAATAAAAAAAAAATAAGACTATTTGATTAGTAATAATTGATATTTAATACATATATTTCAAATACATAATATGAAACAAACAAAAACAGATAGAGATAAAATAAAATAAAGGTAGATATTACATTAAAATATGGCAAGGAATTATATGAATTACATATAAGCTAAGAATTAAGAATTAAGAATTAAGAATTAAGAATAGTAATATTATTTAATAAAATAATAATAAGGAAAATATATAAACGAAAGTGGGTATTAGGTTTTAATTTACAGTGATTCCCGGGGGTATGTATGGATAGATAAATGATCCTAGCCATGGCCAGAGTTGTAGAGGGCTTTGTCCGACATGAAGGCGGTAATCGAGTAAATGCAAGAACTCCAGGCTCATGTAGCATAAGGTTTTGGGGTGGATACCATTGACAGAAAGTATGGCGTTATTTTTTATGTACTCTGCCACACGAGGAGGTGATTTTTGGATCCAACTTTGGACTGTCTCGGTGAAAATGGGACATGCGATCGGGTGTAAGGCAGCTGAAGGGATTTGAATAGACCAGATTGGTTCACATCGATTCAATTTGTCCCAGTACTTTTCTTTGCTTTGACCAAAGCATTCGTTGGCAATATTTGTATTGAGGTTTTCGATTAGAGCAGGTATACAAATAACGCTGAGTAGGTTGACTTGAATGTATTTTGCAGCCATGATATAAGCGATTAAGAATAGGCGTTTGATACAAGTGATATATTTATTGGCTCTTTGGCATCTCTACAAATTTATATATGTATAAAAAATGTTTGATGTGTTTGATGTATATAAATACGTGTATTTTTATTTGTGTGTATGTGTGTATGTGTTTATGTGTGTTTGTGTGTGTGTGTGTGTGTGTGCACATACATATAGATAAATATATAAATATATATATATATATATGTAACAAGCGATTAGTGCCTTGTAATTAAAATAATCTTTATCAATTTGCTCTTACCTTTTTTAAATTGGCAATAAAGTGTACAGCATAAGCGGTTGTTGTAGCTGGGCAGATAACTGGCAGTCCTTTTGAATAAGGCGATCGAGCTGCAATATAAAGTGCCTCATCCAGAGTGTGTTCAGGAGAAAAGGTAGCTTCGGTCAATTCTTTGATAAACAGGACGACTTCGTGAATGTAACAAGGATCCTTTGATTTATCATGCCAGTTATTTGTCAGAGCCTTGGCTATGTATTCTAAAGATCAATTTATATTTATATTTACATTTATTTATATTTATATAATGTCTTGAGATAGTCTGATTATAAATTATATATATACATACCGATAGACTCTAAATCGAGAGGTTTTCTTCTCCTTAGCTGTATGATATGAAGTAGAAGAACAGCATTGTAAGATGTTGGAGGGTTGTAGGCAGCTTCTACCAGATCAAGATGAAGACGATCTGATAGGACACAGGGTTGTAATGCCATGTTATTATGGGGACCTAAGTGGGATCAGCTTTCAAAGTAAAAAGAAGGGAAGAAGAGGTGGAATAAGATTGGAATCTTACGGGACAACGAAAAAATAATAATTTAAAATAAAAAAATTAAAAAAAAAAACGATGTTCCAACTGCGCTCTCTAGGATTATATCTGCATTTTTTCCCTTGTGCCAGCTAACCAGCTAACCAACCAACCAACCAGATATGTAGCATATGTTCTATTAAGATATAAATTACATATGTATATTGTATGTATATTGTCTGGTTGTGTTTAATGGAAGGTGTAGTGACAAGGAGATGATTGGATAATTAGGTTGTGAAGTTTAGTGGTATTGTAATCAATCAGCTAATGACAATGAGTGATAATTTTACATGAAAAATACAGTAAAAAAAAAATGGAAAATTAAATCCAAGTGTAAAAATATTGGCAGTATATCGAGGATTATGAATCAAGAAAAAAAAAAGAAACAGAATATATTATTCGGAAAATTTTAGACCCCGTATATGACTCCGGTAAGAGATAATCCGTTTCTCCGTATCTCACAGGGTAAAAAGGAAAAAGAAACCCCAAGATGTATTATAAAATATCTCTATTTGTATATATACTTTTCTACCTATATAATCACAATATCTATTTGTGGTCCTGTAACACTTCCAAAGATTAACAAAAAGGCACACGCATACAACAACAAAAAGGAAGGCCAAAACAAGTCTAAATGTCTATATACCAATTTACACTCTTGTCAGCACAATTCCAGGTCTAAATTAACTTGAATATGCTTAGAGTACAAGTTATCCACAAAGTCCTTTTTTTTTGCTTTGTTACTGTTGTGTATTTATATATCTACATACCTCAGCTCACAAACATATATTAGTAAATCAATCAATCAATCATTTCTTCAAGTCTTTAAATGTTTTCTAATGTGCATCTTGACCGGTCACTTGTGACGGTTCTACAGCTAGGCTTACTTTCTCCTGATCGTTCACAAAGACTCCGCATTTTTACAGCAATTTGTTATAGCACTTGTTTTTTTATTATTTTTCTTTTTCAATGGATGATCGCGAAAGAAGAGAAAGATCAGAAAGTCCAGAGGAATCATGGAGGCCACTAAAGGTACTCTATCTTTCAGTCCAAAATAACAACCTAAAGCTCAATTAACTCACTCACTCACTCACTCACTCGTCCACATAGCCCATTCCTGCCAGTAAACTTCAAGCATTTACTGTTGGAAGTAACAAAAAGACTCCATTTCAGAAACGAAAAGAAGAAGCTGAAATGAAGAAAAAGGTATACAGCAAAAAAAGAAAATAATAATAGTAATAATAATAATAAGGATAAGGATAGCATATACTATATAATCAAATAATCTTCTTGTCAATACATTAGATACTCTCTCTTTTTTTAAAAAAAAAGAAAAATCTAACTCGTATTTTTGTATGTACATGACTTGTTAAATATTAAGCAAGAAACTGAGGAAGCTGCCAAAGTGTACGCAGATTTTGTAGCTTCGTTTGAAGAGCCACAGGACTATAGTCTCGGCACAAAGACGTTTATCAAGAGCAATACATTGTTAAAAGGAGATAAAGTGATGCCTGCCGATAACCTTCCTTTGAGATATGAACCAACGAGTTATTCTAAACCTCCGGCATCGTCAACACATTCGGCTCCTCCTCCTCCTTCCCAACAGCAACAACAACATAGCCATAACCATAACCACAATCATAACCACAATCACAATCACAATCAGAATCACAGCAATAATTACCAAAATCAATCGCAACCATCTTCAACAACCACAAAACAACCTTATAAACCAATGCCTTTCGTCAAAGCTGGAGAAGGACCGAAACCTAAAATGAGAGTACCTGTATTATCTCAAGAAGACGACGATGAAGAAGAAGATGTAATTAATTCATTATTATTGTTTTTTTGGGGGGATGTATAATAATTCCTGGTGTATTTGCATGCTGTGTGGATCATATATATATATCTAACAAATGAATAACTGATTAACGATGTTTGTAAATCTACGTAGATGATCGCATTAAAAGAAGCCAAAGCACAAAAGAAAAGGAACTTGGATACTTTTTTGGAAGAAATTAAAAAGTAAAAATTAATAATAACTATATAGAGAAAGAAAGAACGGTATTGAGAAATATTTATTATGAGATGTTGATATACATGTTTGTATGTGTATCTAGAGGACAAGAAGACCGACAAGACAAGTTGCGTTCAAGATATGGCAAATCAACCTCTTCTCATGTGGTGACGGGTAAAAATATATATAAAAGCAGAAGAACAAAGCAGATCCAAGCTATGTCTCGGTTGGTTTCTAAACAAATATACATGTATGCATTGCTGCTGCTTAGTTTCCAGAGGAGGTAGTGGATCAGTAGCACAGGAAGGTAAATGTCGTCAAAAAGCACTATCCGAATTATTTGTATATATATATATATATGTATGTATGTCAAACTCACATTTAACCTACTCAGATCATGAACCTAGTGTTGGTTCATTTGACACTGGAGACTCCATGACCACAAACCTTTACATCGGTAATATCAATCCTACAGTAAGTGGCCCAAAAAAATATATAACCTTTAAATAACCTCTGAATATATATATATAATCAATTAATTTAATAACAAACTCTACATCTCGCTCATATTCATATTCATATTTATCTTAATAGGTTGATGAACTCGCGATTTGCCAAGGATTTGGTAAATTTGGTCCTATTGCATCTGTCAAAATTATGTGGCCGCGTACAACCGAAGAAAAAGAACGGAATCGAAACTGTGGATTTGTGAGCTTTATGTCGCGTAAGGATGCAGAGCAGGCATTGAAGCACATGGACGGAAAGGACTTTCACAACTACGCAATGAACGTTGGATGGGGAAAGGCTGTTCCTATGCCAGCACAACCGATATTTGGTATGCTTCCAATTCTTATAGTATCTGATATTCAAAGAAAAAATTGGCAACTTTCTGACGTATCTTTTGTGTAATCAGTTTTGAACGAGAGCAAAAAGGCGTTACCAACTGGGTTACCATTTAATGCACAGGTTGCTAATGCACAAGGTGGAGGGGTAAGTAAATACATATATAGGTCATATTTATGTGTAGAATGTGTCTTATTCTTACAATATGTAATAATGTTCTTTAGACTTCTCAACCACGGGCTGAGGTCAAGGTGGTCAAACCAACTAACATTCAGCAAGTTAAAATTATCCACCGAACAATCGAACGTGTATTAGAACATGGACAGCCAATAGAGGTAATTATTATTTTCCTGCGATAAAATAAAGATTCTATTAGCACATTAACTTCTTTGATGTACTTATCTCTTTATCTCTTTTGAAAGGCTGCGATCATGGAAAAAGAAAAAGAGAATCCAAAATTCCGTTTTTTATTCGACTTCAACGTAAGTTTCTTTTGAAGAATATAAAGCAGTACTAGTCATTTAATGTATAATTTACAACGTTGAATTTGGATTCTAGTCGGAAGATCATATTTACTACCGCTGGAAACTGTATTCAATGCTCCAAGGAGATACAAAATCACAATGGCGCTCAGAGCCTTTTCAGATGTACAAAGGAGGTGTCTGGTGGGTTCCTCCAGATGTACCATTTGACGATGAGGTAACATAAATACATAGATGTGTGTGTGTGTGTGTGTGTGTGTGTTGGTGGGCAGTGTCTAGTTAAAACTCTGCATGCTCTCCTCCTTCTAACACTTGTTGGGAATCTGTATTTAGGGCATGAATGAAATGATGTTGGATTCGGATGATGAAGAAAAAGAATCTGTTCGGGAAAATATCCCCAAGGGTGTACTCGGAAAGATTGCACGTCAAAGGTTGGAAATGATGCTTCGTCAAGTATCTTTTCAAAGAGGTACCATTGCTCGTACAATGGCCTTTGCAATCGATCATGCTGATGCTGCTGAAGAGGTAAATATATACATATACATATATAATTTAATCCAAATAGATACAAAATATTGATCATAATATATATAAGGTTGTTGAAACTGTTTGTAAATCATTGGTGATACCTGAAACGCCTATCTCAACAAAACTCGCGCGACTTTTCCTTGTTTCTGATATTTTACACAACAGCAGTGTACATGTTCCTAATGCATGGAAGTATCGACAAAGGTAAGAAAGAATTATATATACACATAGATCTGTACCTTTTTCTTTTCTTTTTCTCTTCAAAACATGATTCATCAATCTCACCGAATATTATATATATATGGGGCATTTGTTAGCTTTGAGACACGTTTGCCACCAGTATTTGAACATCTCAATCAAGTATATCGTTCCATGACAGCTCGTTTAAAGGCTGAACAAGTCAGGGTAAAATACTTCTCCTCTCATTATCTCCCCCTTTTTTTTAACAATGCTTATAATGTTTCTTGTTTTTTTTAAAAAAAAAAATAGCGCCATATTAGTACTGTTTTGGGTGTTTGGGAGAACTGGATGGTATTTCCTCAGCATTACATTGAAAAGTTGAGTACACTCTTTATGAAGAAATCTATACAAGGCAGTGAACAGACTGTTGCACCTGAAGCATCCACACATACTACAGCATCACAAGACTTTGGATCCATGTCACTTGCTAGTCAAGGCACCACCACCGGTCTCAGTTCAGAGCCAGATGAAGGAGTAAAATCGACAATCACATCTGATACAGCAGCAACTGCACAAAAGACACAAGCAAAGACAGTATCAGCAGACGCAGAAGCTCTACCGTCATTACCAGTAGCAGCGGAAACAGCTTATATTCAAGAAGCGATAGAGACTGCAGAAACAAACACAACAACAATGAGGGTGCAAGATGATGATAACATTGGCGGTAAATATACTGAAGATGTGGATGGTGAACCTATGGGTGATGATGATGTGGACGGTGAGCCTATGGAAGATGATGATGTAGATGGCGAACCTATGGAAGATGACGATGTTGATGGTGAACCTATGGAAGATGAGTCTCAAGAGAACAAAAACACTGGCTCATCAACTTCAGCCCATGATATTTCAGATATGTTCGCATAAGCATGTCCAGTCTTGTCTTTATCTCTATTTTTTTTTCTTTGTCTTTCTTTCTGTCTTCTTTTTTTTTCATGCACATATGGCTCACTTTACTTTAGTTTTACATTCGCACAAAATAAACATCATTAAAAAATGTATTTATCTTAAAGATTGATGAAAACAATAATAACAATATTTAAGCCTTGACTACATATGCTCTGTTCATTCTATCATTATTTACAGCTTAGGATGTACTTCCTTATCTCTTCTTTGTGTGTGTGTGTGTGTGTGTGTATATGAATATTTTCATGAAGTACTTTCTTTAAAGTACAGTAAATGACTTTAATCCCTTTTCTGCGTCACCGGCACGACTGTCTACTACAGAAATGATGTTGTTGACAAAGTCGGGGTCATACTAATAAAGATTTGAAATAAAGTATTAAGTATTGATATCTCATCTCATATATGCATTTTGTATGTATCATTTAATTCTATAAAAATACTAATAATACTAATAATAATAATAGTAGTAGTGCAGCTATGTAATACAAATACAAATATATATATTGCTTTAGATTTACCTTGCAAGCTCTTGTACAATCAGGAGAAAAGTTGACCTCGATAATTTTTGGCTTAAAATCATCTGTGAGCATCACATCAAAGCCATACATGCTGAATGCATCGAATCCGGGCTTTTTATCAGGAACCAATCCCAAAGGTTGGGGCTGTGTAGCAGCAGCAGCCAGAACGTCTTTATGATTTTATAAAATGTTTTTTTTTGTTAAATAAATGCTTTACTTTCCTAACAATTTGTTCCAAATAGAAACAGAAAAAAAAATATTCTTTATAATTGCCTTTCATAGCTTGGTTGATATCATTCTGAACATCGGCCCACTTAATGTTATTCTCTTTCTCCATGTGGTAAATGAAGCTCTTGTAATCAAGTTGAGTCATCTCATATTTTGAGTAATTCATGACTGTGAACTGACGCTCATAATCATCCAAATCGTCTAATATTGCAACAAAGAGTACAAATATGAAGATTAGATTATGTTTTTAGTACCAAAGTTATCTTTCATGTCGTGTCGTGTCGTTTCGTGTGTTTGTATTAAAACAGTAACAACAAAAATATATAATTTACCCAAGTTGAACTTTTTGTTGGCCAAACGAATCCAGAACATGTTATAAACACAGGCAATCATGGTGGGTTCAATTTGGCGCAAGAGTACAATGTATCTTAAATCAAACTTCTTGCCGTTGTAAAGGCATGGCTTGGTCAAGTATTTCTGAGCAATCATTGGTACAGCAGAATCATGGGTTCTGATTAACTCGGGAAGAGAGCGATTGATGCTGATATCGATACCACGAGCAAGGTTCCTAACACAACACAAAAATGTTTCGTGAGATCACAATGTTGAGAGTATTTTATCAAAGAAAAAATATTATATACCATGGCTTGAGAATCCACAAGTTGTCCGATTTGCTTTCCTCGTTCTAGAATTTAAAGTGGGTTAGTAAAAGCCTATATACAATCCCAGAGCAGCAAACATTGTAAGCTCATGGACTCACATTGAGGTAGTTTCCAACAACTTCGCCAAGTTGAGTCACCAGATTGTAGGTGCGTGGAACCCATTCAGGTGAGCCATAAGTTTTTCTGATTAATCGATCGTATTAGTATAACACAAATACACCCATGCAAAGTTTTGATCCATTTGATTGAATTATTCTTCTTATATATGTATATATTCACTTACTGGATCAAAGCAGCCAAGTTCTGCTTAAAGGTCAAACAAAATTCATTTGGGAACTGATTGATTGTTTGGTGCTCTTTTAGGCTATCCCATTCCATGAAATCTTGGCTTCTCCAGATAATATCTGCCTTATCTTCATCTGTGACAAGTTTGGTATTTGCCAACTTTAAGTTGTCACAGACAAACGGTGTGGTCGAGGCTACCTTGACGGGTTCTTTTGCCTTTTCGGCAGGATGGGAGAGTAAAGCCTTGACAGATTCTTCAGAGTTGGTAATCTTTGAAGACTTGGGAGGCTGGGTAGCTTCCAAGCTGGTCTGATAAGCCTTGTAGGAATCAACCAACTCCTTGGTAATCTTTTGTACGTCTTCATCAGCCAAAAGACGCTGCTGGAAAGCCAAAAGATAAGCCTTGCGATCAATAGGGCGCTCGAGATTCTTGGGAAGCAAGTCGCATGTCAATGGCTCGCCGGCCTTGATGTCTTTAATTGGGAACATGACACTGTAAGGGATCATACCGCTTGCTCCGCGAGAGAAAATGAAAGGAACGCAGACAACGGAAGGATCAGAAGAATGGCAAAGGGCCGATCCAACCTACGAATAATAATAATAATAATAATAATAATAATAATAATAATAATAAAAGTAATCGAAAGTAAATAATTTGTGGTTTGTAGATAAATAGTATATAGCCAATTTAAGTGTGTGTACTCTAAAATATTTACCTCATCACAGGCGTCTAAGTACGAATAACAAAAATAAATTAGCTCAAGATCGTCTGTTTAATAACAATAATATCAAGTAGTGTTCAGTAAGATATAACTTACACCAGGCGGTCTGGGCCTTTGGTTCGCCATCTTGCTGCAAGACAGAGAAGGAGTATGTCTGGAGGTAAGACCACATTTGACAGTACACTCTTTCAACACGTCGCTCCAAAAGTTCTTCTAATCTCTTCTTGTGAGCTTCTTCCTTTTCTTTGCGTTCCTCTTCTTCCTTTTCCTGGGGTCTTCCACTTGCTGTATATCCCCGCATGTAATTATGTATTTATTCTTGATGTTAGCTTTTTTTGATACACTCAACCTTGTTTATTATGTTTTTTTTGTATACTTGCCCAAGATCTGGTTAATAACTTGTTCCTGCAGACGATCGGCCTCTTTCTTATGTTCTTCATCCATAGTCAATTTCTAATATTGAATAGACATATATATATATATCGTTAGTTCTTATGCAATTGTGTAATACTACACGTTTAAAAAAATTACGATACAATACCATAATTGCATTGAGAACTTCATAATTTTCTTCTTCCAATGCCTTCTTGGCTTCTCCGTAAGAAACATCAGCTTGCTCAGCCACCATCTTTACGACCTCATCGTCATGTTCGACTTCGTCTTCTTCTTCGTCGTCGGCCAACTCTTCCTTTTCAATGTCCATGATACTTTCCATACGGTCCAAAAGAGTCTCGTTGTCTCTCAACTGTTGCTTGGCCTCTTTGGGAGTAGTAGTCCATGCATGATCAATCAAGAATATGTCACTATAGAATCAATGGTTCGATTAAATATATATAATCATAATGTATCTGTACGATGTTACTGTTCCTATCTTAATCCCTATAATAAACTTATTGAAACGAACCCTCTTCCTCTTTCCTCTTTACTCATCATTCATACTCTATAATATTATTATTTGGTATTTTTATTTATTTATATATTTATTTACCTGTGCTTCTTTAGCGTAACATCCTTTTTAGTATGTACAGAATATCCGGGTACAATATCTCCTTGGTGAAGCTCGACAAAGTTTCCTTATAAACCAAATATATATATTATTATTTATTGAGTCCCTTGCATTAAAATATTCATTTGCTCGAGAGACCTCTTCAAAGACCTCCCTCACTCGATGAATTTTATTTGCGTTTTTATTATTATTAGCAGTAGTAGTTTACCTGCGTCAAGGTAATCTTCTCCAAGCTTCATGAAGAGGGGCTGGTCAAAAATGTAAGGAAAAGTAAGACAAGGACGCGAGTGCAAAAGGTCAGTAAAGTATGTTCACGGGTTAAAGGCTTCTAGAGTATGGCACAATAGGTATAGGGGAAGTTTCTTTGTGGTTTTATGTACCTGCCAAAGCTCCTCGGGAATAGAGGCAAGCTGATACTTGTGAACAGCGACAAATCCTTCGTAAGCAGACATAAGTGAATAGTTCTTTAACAAGATATACTTTTTTATGCAATTTATTTTTTTTTGGCCAAATTCAATTTTATTTTAATGTGACTGTTTAAAAAAAAAAGACAATCGTCATGCTTCTCTCTTGATTAGACAGCTGAGACTGATTTTTTATTTTATTTTATGTGTGTATATTTATTGTTGGCTACTTTACTCCGTGTAACATCCTTGAAGAAAACCCCTATGAATAAGTTAAACTTTTGTAATTTGGCCTGAAGATATCCATACTTATGCAAACTAATTATGTTCTATTATTTTGTTAACTTTACTTTTATACCGATTTAACTATAGATTTGTTGGCTAGTTTATTAAATAAAAGGCATTTAGTCGATATATTTTACATGATCATCTAGCAAAACTCATTAGTGTTTTATATCTTGTTCTTGTGTTTCAAAATATGTCTTAGTAAAGGTATATAGAGCTAGAAAGATACTTACCTGGTTAACCAAATAATGTAATTAAGTATTACAAGACCTGTTCTGGGAGAGTGACTAAAAGTGTAACAAAGTGGTCCAGATATATCTCACTCATACAACATCTGTTGGATCAACCCACCAAGGTGAAGGACGACTAACCGATCGCTAAAAAAAAAATAAGATAATGCCTTTAAGCCTACATATTCTATAAGCTATTATGTGTGCAGACCTCGGCCTCGTACCAAAGATCCTGGTCAACACCACCACCACCACCACCACCACCACCACCACCACTATAGGTTACTCCTTACCCAGCGATATTAATGTTTAAAGATGCGCGTAGACGAACCGGAATACCTTCCGTTGAACCCCTACTGAATAGTAGATATATACCCAACGTACCAACTTGTATGTTATACGAAATAAAAGGTTCAAGTATGCTAATCATATTTTGAGCCTCGTATATGAACAAAGAGGTGTAGGAAGGGAGGAAGTACTAAATGTCTGCTCCGTTGTATATGTGGTAGCAATTACTTGTGGAGTAAACTGAGTCCAAGAAAATATCTACAAGTTTCAATGAACTCGCTGGCTGGAGTCTACTTTTTTTTGGTAAAATTATATAGGCAAAACACATAATTTTGCATGTCAAAGTCAGTAATTAGTAAACATGGTAATTAGCAGTAGGATTTTCCACACAAAAACAAGAGTATTTCGCTAGTTTGTTAGCTATGCTTGACCATCAATCTATTGTAAAGAGCAGGAGTTAGATTTTTTTTACTCAAGATTAATACGCATAAATTTTGTAGCATTAGACAACCCTGGTGTGATATAAGAATTCCAGGACTGCTAGAGATTAATGATTAGGGACACTCAGTCAAAAATAAAAAAATAAAAATAAAAGCCCCGAAAACAGTTGTGAAAAATTATTAATTGGCAAAAATAGCTATATCCATATCTTTCTACCTTGCCCTTACTTTGTTGAACAAAATACACTTTAAAGATGATTAATCCCGATATTTAAGATACTGACTATCTTTCTCTTTACGGTGGTAGATCCTCTAGCCCCAGAATGAATAAAACTTCTATCCCCAAAAGATATCGATCTCCTATACCCAAAAGAAGGAGAACTGCGTACAAGCGCTTGGATCCTTCGACCTTTCCTGATGCCAAATCTAAAAGCAAGTTTCGTTTTACCTTTGCAGAGGTAGTTTACCTTTTAGAGTACTTGATTTTTTGTTGATAGAATAAACATTAATCAGTGCTTGCTTTCTTATTTATATATCCATATACTAGATAAAACATATATGTGCTTTAATGAAGTTACCTTCCACGTTGAGCTTCAGGCGATCTACAACATATGATATATGTGTAACACGGGAATTCGCCTTTGCTCTTATGTTATACAGATATGCCTCCCCGCAGCAATATTCTACCATGGAAATGTTTTGGGGGATGTCAAGAGGAAATATGTCCTCTATTTTCAATGGGTTCTCGGTTATGCTCTTGGACAAGTTCAAGCATGGACTTGAGCTTGACACTCGCTAATTCTCTGCAAATAATTGCAAGAGATTTGCAAAAGCAATCTGCAAAGAATGTAAGTATATGTAATTTAATATAATTATATTTTCTATCAACATTACTAACTTTTGTAAATCTCTAATATGCCTTTGATAAATTAAACATATGATTCTGTAGCCACATCTTACATGCATATTGTTGGCTTTGTTGATAAAAGTATGCAGAAAATATGTCGACCAACTGCCAAAGACAAACAGAATATTCTACACAATGGATTGAAAGTAAACTATTTATTTACTTTTAATTAAAGCTTATTTAACAAAGTGTCTATAAAAAATATACTTACCTTATTATTTGAACAGCATGTTCATACTCTTAAATATAAGGCAATCGTCACACCTGATGGTATAACCAGTATTCTTCTAGGTCCTTTCATTGGCCCTACCCGCAATGAAAAGAAGTTTGAAGATTCCAAGACACTGGATCGTTTCCTCTTTCATATTGCCGCGTTAAGCTCAGAAAGAAAGGTTAATCCAGCGTATGTTCTTTACGATAGTGAATTTTATAAGAATTCCGGGCAGGTATATAGACCATTTAATCTGAGCGAGATACAAGCGAATTGTGAGTTACTTAAAATATTGCTTTTTCACTTTTGAGTCATGACTTTTTTTTTTTTTAACAATTGGGTTTTTTATGTAGCCATTACGAAATGTATTAATAATAAAATGACACATACTAGAATACAAGTAGAAAAAAAGTTTCGTAAGATTGGGAGATACTTTAAATACTGTAAATATTGCCATGCTATGAAGATCAAGGGAAGCCCAAAACCGGTCATGATATATATTCTATCAACCATCTTCAAGAATATGCATACGTGCCTAAACATTTTGGCGACTAGATCAACTTTTTGGCTTGCTCCACCGACTATTGATGAGTACATTACTGGACTCATGCGCAAACAGCAGCCAAGAGATACCATCTATGATATTAATACTCTTTTGAACAACTTATCTAGCTTAGTCTAGCTTTAGGCTAATAAAAATAAAGAAAAATTATCAATTATAAATACAATAGATGTTATATAGAAAGCTATATTGTTATATTTCTAACCTTCCCAGACGAAGAGAACTTTTATTATACAAACTACTGTAACAAAAAAGAGTCTTATTGTAGGAAGCATTTTGCTCCTTCGTATACATGGCTTGCCTTTCCAGTTTCCGGTCTTGCTTCTCCAAAATACGTAGGACAGTTTTATCAATGCTGATATCAGGGTAATTTTAAACATTATTGCGAAAGGCAGGGACTCTACCGATTTCTCTTATCTCTTTGTTGCCTTTGGACTTTTGATCACCCTCAATTTTATCAGTCTCTCTCACTGCAAAAATGCTCTAATTTTATCTATGGCGTAGGGTATTATTATTTGTGGAGTAGTAGTCTAAATTCCCACCATTGTTGTCTTTTTTATTTTTGACAGCAATAATAATGTTCAGTTTGTTTTATTGAATAAAAAACGAGTGTGCTCTTTTTTGTAAAAAAAAATGAGATTTCTTTCTGGGACTTGTAGTCATGCTGCAAGGTCAATAGTTGTAGGGCACTTGAACCAAATGATATCTATTTAGTGAGATAATAAAGTTTTTTACTACTGTAATATGCGCTTATAAGTATGGCAAGGTCAAGGACTGAGTTCTTCAAAAAGACATTTTTCATGTTGGAAAAATACAGATCATTCTGCAAATAAGTCATTGCATCTGACACTTATTTTGTATATGCTTACAAGGATTGCATTGACACACTATTGGCTGCCAACAAAGTATGAACATGCTTTGTTAGAGTCACAAAAACTTGAGTTTCAGGAGCTGTAAAAACAGCTATTTCAGGAGTTAGTGTGTCAATTGAAGTAATAACATCAATTGTGCTATTAAGAACAGCATTTGTGCATAAATTGGGTCAGCAGAGAGTAGTTGTCAGGAACCAATCTGGACAGAAACAAGGACAGAGAAAACAGAGAGAGAAATTTAGATATATTTCTTTATTAAAGAAGTTGTTCGCTTGATTTTTCTATGATCAAGCTCTACAAGTATTTATACAAATATTTATGTCTGCTAATTGTGAGGGATAATTATGTGATTGGTGCTATGAGTATTCTCTCTAAGAAAACGGATGCAATGATTTGATTGGTCTAATAACAATATGGTCGGAAGGGATTCTGATTGGTCCAATAACTGAGATCAATTGGATGTTCTTTACAGTAGTAGGAATATGTTTTGTCATTTTGGGTTCATAAAATAAATAATAACTGTTGTGGTGGTTGAAGTTGAAGAAGTTTTTAAGAGGAAGAATTCAAGATTTGAAATTAGGAACGAAGATTCGTGAGAACTTGTGTAGGTTTTGTTTATTGAGAAAGATTTTGTATCAAAGTTTGACCAGGTTCCTACACTGAACTACTACTGCTATTTATATTGTTTTGGATTGGGAAAATTATATGACTGGGGTCAGGTAATCGATCCTATCTGAGCCTTAATCAGAGCAACGTGATCTTGGGATAATTAATGTATGATTAATTATATAAATGTGTGTAGTCCCAATGAAGTATTAACATCGAAAGTAAATGTGTTTATGAGTTATAATTATGCTTATAATAATCCACTGATGTATCCCATATTATGGTGATATCATCATATGAAATATAATCACTATCATGCATGCTAAACCTGTGTGTTAAATAATAAAGTAATCGGTAGACACCTTTGACTGGAATAGCTGAGGCCTTATATTATTTCCTTCAGACTTATTCTCAATTACAGCAGTAGTCAATACTCATTTACAACAATAACTTTTAACTAATACTATTGTGGTATTTCAGGTACGAAACAATAGAAAAATAAAATATTTAATAATAGAGACGTATAGAAATACTTTGAGACTGTATATAAGTTTTTTTTATTCATAAATAAAAAGTGTCCCTTTTTATAAGAAAACACAATCTGCTCTTGTCATTACGTCTTAGTTTCTTAAGGCTTTCTTCCTTTACTATATTTGGTTATTAGAGTGTATTTACTGCTTAACTAGTGTCGGTGTTACAATTATGACATCAAGTCATAAATTGTACTTCTTTAGCTCTTAGCTATTCTTTTCTCTTTTATACTAGAGCTTTAGGACTTCCTACTAAATTAGCTCCATATCGATCTGACACAGTTTACCCGGCAGTATGATATAATTATCTTAACAATCTTTAAGATATTATCTACAGTACTAACTGTAATAATTATTGGGCTGATTACTTAATCGTTTATATATATATTATACTGACAAGATGATAGCTACTACACTATCCCAATATGAATATGTTCTTATATGTGATAAATTCAACATCCGAGTGTCTGGATCACCACAACTATATAATTCATCATATTCTTTATATCATATTTAAAATTCACTTGCTAGTAAAGACAATAAGCTGTACAGATTTACTTTCTACCTTTTGTTTGATTTTTAAGCACATCTCAACCACTTGATCTACATTTAGACAACTTCTTTTCCAACTCAATAAGGCTCAAAGTATTAAGTTTCAAAATGATGATGGGTAGCATCTTTTAGAGTATTACTTTTTACTACTTGCATTTTGTCAGAGTCAAATCAAATCTTAATACAAAGTCTTTTCTTTTAATATTTTTTTTAATAATATATATTATTGATTATCTTCTTTCTTTCTCTTTTTCTTATATTTTTATCATTTTACTTATCATTTTTTCTTTCTTTTATAGTTCAATGCCAAATATATATATCTTTGTTCTGTTATGCTCTGTTTAATATAATAAGATAAAATATGATTCTTTTAAAGATATTTACTACTTATCATATTGTTTGTCTAGTTATTACTACTCATTCTCATTGAGTCTTATCAAATTTCAATCAAGCATAATAATAATTTTTTTCTTAAAAAATCTCAAATAATTCTTTGTCTTACTTATAAATATATATGTTGTAAATGAGTATTGACTACTGCTGTAATTGAGAATAAGTCTAAAGGAAATAATATAAGGCCTCAGCTATTCTAGTCAAAGGTGTCTACCGATTACTTTATTATTTAACACACAGGTTTAGCATGTATGATAGTGATTATATTTCATATGATGATATCACCATAATATAGGATACATCAGTGGATTATTATAAGCATAATTATAACTCATAAACACATTTACTTTCGATGTTAATACTTCATTGGGACTACACACATTTATATAATTAATCATACATTAATTAGCTCAAGATCACGTTGCTCTGATTAAGGCTCAGATAGGATCAATTACCTGAACCCAGTCATATAATTTTCCCAATCCAAAACAATATTGTTGTAAATGAGTATTGACTACTGCTGTAATTGAGAATAAGTCTGAAGGAAATAATATAAGGCCTCAGCTATTCCAGTCAAAGGTGTCTACCGATTACTTTATTATTTAACACACAGGTTTAGCATGCATGATAGTGATTATATTTCATATGATGATATCACCATAATATGGGATACATCAGTGGATTATTATAAGTATAATTATAACTCATAAGCACATTTACTTTCGATGTTAATACTTCATTGGGACTACACACATTTATATAATTAATCATACATTAATTATCCCAAGATCACGTTGCTCTGATTAAGGCTCAGATAGGATCGATTACCTGACCCCAGTCATATAATTTTCCCAATCCAAAACAATATAAATAGCAGTAGTAGTTCAGGGTAGGAACCTGGTCAAACTTTGATACAAAATCTTTCTCAATAAACAAAACCTACACAAGTTCTCACGAATCTTCGTTCCTAATTTCAAATCTTGAATTCTTCCTCTTAAAAACTTCTTCAACTTCAACTACCACAACAAATATAAATAGCAGTAGTAGTTCAGTATAGGAACCTGATCAAACTTTGATACCAAATCTTTCTCAATAAACAAAACCTACACAAGTTCTCACGAATCTTCGTTCCTAATCTCAAATCTTCAATTCTTCCTTTTAAAAACTTCTTCAACTTCAACTACCACAACAGAGATATAATAATAAGAGTAGATAGTGTTTTCTTATAGAGACATCTTTTCTTTATAAATATAAACAAATTGTGTATAGTTTAAAAGAATTTTTATATTGATCAGCTAACAAATCTATTACTTTTATATATTTTTTATATCTGAAAAATTATATTTAGATCATAACACTTGTTTTAATAACATATAATGATTTAAATTGTATTAATTTGTTGTGTTTGTATATTGTTATTATATATTGTACACGTCTGGAAAATATATGAAGCGCGGATGGTTAAGTGGTATAATCTTCGCCTGCCACGCGAAGGGCCCGGGTTCGATTCCCGGTCCGCGCAGTACTTCTTTTTTAGCAGATTTTGTCGTTCCCCATCCGGGTTGGTCTTCCTTTTACTATTGTCGTTCCTGATCTGGGATGGTCTTCCTTTTATTTTAGCAAAGTCAAAAGGTCAAACCCACTGGGGATCAAGGAGTATACGTAAATTGAAATATAATTTTTATTTATATGAATTACACTGTCTTATATATTTTTCTAAACTAATATTGCGCATAAAGAAATAATGTGGTTAACTATCTTCAGATTTTATGGATTCATCAAAATAATGTCTGGTAATTTCTTGTCAGCCGATAAAGGGGACTATTACACAGAGTTCTTTAGAGAAATCCGACCGAAGTGATTCTTTTTTGCTAAAAAAAAGTATAATAGAAGGGAGAGCGGGTACTTCTAATGACTGAGTAAGTTTAGAAAAGATATAAAAGAAAGTAATACTTTATTCAATAAAAGTTATCTATCTGTTTATTCTTTTATTCTCGCTTACAATTCTTAATGGGTTTGAGCAATATTTGCTGTTATAACATTGGAAGAACAACCTAGATTGAAATCGGCACTATTTAATTTGAACTGTTTTTATTTTTACTCTATACAGTAAATTTTATTATCGAACGTTTTGTTCTTTGAATATGGAAGTACAATAACATCATAG